TATATTTTTTAAATTGATTTCGATTTGCATAGCGTACTGAATTAAGTGTAGAATGATAAATTTTCGTGAAAATCGGTTCAGATCTAGATATAGCTCCCATATATATGTACGTTGTTTTTATGTACGTTGTGTGCGAAAGACCCAAAGTTTGTCCAATTGGCACACAATTTTTGACCATGTACTGAAGTTAATATAACTTAATCTCTGACAAGTTTCGTTGAAATTAGTTCAGAGTTAGATATAGCTTCCATATATATTTTTGTCCGATTTTAGGTAAATGGTACACCAACCTTCAAATTTGAACATTGTTCACAAAAATATAGATAGATAAAAACCATATATTTATGTTCGTTCAATTTCGGGCGAAGAGCGACGTCTGTTAGGATACATATGTATCATGTAGTCGGCCCAGTCCGATTTTTTTATCCTTCCTTACTGGTTTTACATACATATTTGACATCGTTTATGAAAAATACTAGGGTACTACTAATTGAACATATATGTTCATTGCTAGGGAAAAATCGCGAGAAAGCTTATGATTTTAATTTGTATTTGACAATAAAATTAGAAATTAATTTCGCCCAATTATGCGTGATTTCTGTAATTGAACAAACAGTTCAATTAAGGGAACCCGCACCCCCCATTCACGGGGTCTATTTTTTTTTTTTTTTTTTTTTTTTTGATACACTAATTCAAGAATGTCCCTACAAAATTTCAAGTGAAAATCTTAAGAACTCTTGAAGATATAGCCTAAAGGGCTTCTCAAACTTTAAACGCGTTTTTCTCTTTTGTGAATGGCCGGCACGATAACTCAAAAACTAATAACCCAATCGATTCCAAATTTTTACACGTTTCTCTGTGAGTATATAGCTCTCGTATGAACTAGGATAAAGCCAATCGGTGAAATTCTTCCTTATTTTTTAACTTGGTTTTTGGTAAAAAATCGTCGATTTTCCAAAAATATTTTTTCAAAAGTCCGCCATTTTGTTAATTTTTGAGCGAAGTCAATAATCCTAGTTTATACGAGAGCCAGACATGTACTCTTTCTAACACCTTTGGAATTTTCGGATTCCGATGTTCCAGTGAGGAGTTATCATGCCTACCATCAAAAATAAGGACTTTTCTTTAATTGCAAAAAACAATGACAAAAATTTTTTGTAAATTATTTTTCTTCTCTTTTAAATCAATTATATATGTGCAAAGTTACAAACCTTAACAACCATTGGTATTGATTTACCAGCTCATTGAAAATCTTGAAAAATTAAAATCGAGAATGGGGGGGTTCCCTTAAGCGGGTATCGGATAATTGGTTCCTCGGTTAATTGAACAAAAAATTGTGCAAATTTTGATATGCAATTAACCGAAAAATACTGTATTTAAAATATTGACACTTTTTGGGGAAGGTACCAGAAGGACTGAACTAATGGGTCCAATCTTCGGACTTGATCTAGGGTTGTGAAAGATAAAAGTTTATACAAAGTTTGGTTCAAAGCGCAACAGAACGGATTTGGTCCAAAGAAACTTGAGGTATAAAACCAATATACCGTAGCAAAGCCTCGGCCATAAGGCAGTGTGTATGACATTTTATGTGAAGTTGAATAGTTAGATATTTACATTTTTCTGCGAGAAGGTCGTCTGCCCCTATGTAGAAACCAAAATGCCTACAAAAGGTCCAGATTGGATCATTTCTCATTTTCTTTGGAAATAGGTAAGGGTTGAAACTTAAGGCTCATAAAGTTAGATAAATCAAAAACTAATGAAAATATCGTGTCTTTGACGATTGGGTCCTTGGAATGTTAGAAAATTGTCTAGAAATACATTGTCAAATAATGTCCTTTCCCGATTAAATTTTCAAGATATTTGAACCTCTAGATCAAGTAGAAGGCAGACAAAAATTAAGCTAAATGATAATATCCTAAATACAGAGTTTAAAAGGTACAAGGTACAAAGTTAGTATTTTAAGATTGTAATGAGTAATTCAAAAATTATATTTTAAACGATTCATACATTCCAATATACACATTTCAATTGTTTGGTGTAGGTTAGTGAAGTTCATCAAATACGTGACTAAATTTAATTGAAATCACATTACATTTGTTTTTATAGATTTGATATCCATTTTTCATAACAGCTACTGGTCTATATTTCTATACATAAATACATATTAATCAATTAAATTCAGAAATTGTATTTCGTACACGAAATTCATAATGTGATATAGAGGTCCACTAATATTGCCCTACTTATACGATGAACAAAGTAAACATCAGAAGCATTACCTTTCTCAACACCAATACTACTACATATCATCATATGTACGTGTGTATGTATTGTTCCACACAACTCACTTGAAGGCGTTACGAATTTTAATTGATTTACTTAATGTTAACAACCAAAAACACAACAACTTGACTATTTTGGCTATCGGCTTGCGGGATATATAAAGTTGAGTTTATTCTTAATTCAATATCAGTTGTTCTCCAATTAGCAGATAACCGCATTTCAAAAAACCATCCAAACAAAATGTTCAAATTCGTAAGTCAAACTGAAACCCAACATATTTATTAAACAATATTAAAAATATTTTAATTTCCTTCAGGCCGTTGTCATCTTCGCTGTCATTGCTTGTGCTGCCGCCAAGCCCGGTTTGGTTACCCCATTGGCCTACACCTCACCCGCTGCTGTTGTTGCTGCCGCCCCTGCTCCCTTCGTGACTGCCACCAGTAGCCAATACGTTGCCCGTAACTACAATGGTATTGCCACTGCTCCAGTTGTTGCCCCCGTTGCTACTCCTGTTGTTGCCAAAACTGTTGCTGCTCCCATTGTTGCCAAGACTTTCGCCGCTCCAGTAGCTGCTGCCTACACCACCCCTGTTGCTGCCGCCTACTCTGCTCCCCTGGTCGCCAAATACGCTGCCACTTATGCCGCGCCCTTCGCTTACTCTGCTCCTTTGACCTATGCTGCTGCTCCAGTTTTGTTGTAAAAACTTGTTGCTTATGATCGACATGCTTGAACCAAATAAATTATTTACTTAAACGAACATTTGCTATTTTCATATTCTTCTATGGAATTTTTAGAATTCCTTAAAAAATGTAGAAGGTTGTTATCAACTTTCTAAATTTTTTTAATTGTTGTAAACATGAGCATATGATGAAAACCGAATTCTTCCAACCAATGAGATATCAACAATTTTCTAAGCGAAGATCCTATATGCCTATGGAGAATCCGAAATCCCTACAGCAATCGTTAAAGTATGCCAGTAATTTTATAATGCGCTTTGTCAAAACCTGTCCCTCAATTGAATCCTTTGGTACCATTTTGCGCGGGAGGTACCAGAAGGAGTGGACTGGTGATCCCCATCTTCCCACATGAATTAAGTTTGAAAGAAATATTACGATGTGGATATTTGGCATCAAATCGGACATTCCACACTATTGATATTGGATTAACAAATTTTAAACATTTTGAACTATTGGGGAGAAGGTGCAAGGAGGGGAGGACTGATGATTCCAGCTTTGGATTCGATCTATGTTAGATAAAAATATTACGCTAAGCAAAGTTTGAATGAAATTTGGATTTTCCTTTCGTATTTTATAAGATGTACCAAGTTGACCCATTATGGAGAAGTGGACCATAAGTCCCATCTCCCAACAGCCATGGTTAATATATTAAGTTGTGCAATGTTTGGTTTAAATCGGATGCTCTGTTGGAATGATATTATAAAAGGTATTTTCTGCACAATTTTTACCCTTTTGCTGTGGAGGTACCGGCAGGAGTGGGCCCAGTTCCCTCACTTTCAACCATAATTTGAGTTTGAAGGAAATGTTACGATGTGCACCGTTTGGATCAAATCAGGCATTCCATTAGCCTAATATTGGTTTTATAAATAATGAAAAATTTTACACTATGTGGGAGAAGAGCTAGAAAGAATGAACCAATGGGTCCTATCTTCGGACTTGATATAGTCTTAGTAAAGATAATGGGATTTGAAATGTTTTGTTCAAATTGAACAGAATGTTTGCCTAATATTTTAAAATTAATTTTAAACTAAATGTTGATCGTTTGTCGAAAATATTCTCCATCTTCGAACTTGAACTGAGTTTGGAGGAGATATTCCTTCGAGAGTTATCGTGCGCACCAGCCGGCCAGACCGACAAAGAGACATTGCGTGGGGTCTGAATCCATTATCTATAAGGCTATGGATCTAAATATTGGTGCTGTTATATAATTAACAGCACGAATTATATATATAATTTTTCCTTGTAATCCATGAAAATTAACCAAAGTTCCATAGACAAATAATATGGATTGAATAACCTTATTTTCGCTTCGGTGACTACTTAAACAAGCAAAATGCTCTCATATAGAGCTCGAACGCTACCATTTTTATGCTGTTGGTGCTGATAAGTCATGTTCGTCATGTGACATATTCTTAAAAATGGTTTGATCTCGTTGGATCCCACAAGGACCTTTGTAATATTGTAACAAATGACGAATAATGGTTTTATGCGTATTAGCTTGAAACAAAGTATCAATCGACCATGTGGGTCTTCGAAAACAAGCCAAATTTTTGGAAAAAAACTGTGAAGAAATCGTGTACACCATAATTTCATTGTCTGAAGTCTTCAGAGACATAAGAAACCGAAGAAGACAATTCGAGCTCTCACACATTGAGTCAAACCATACAGTGAGATGCATAGGTCATCCGTCATGAAACCCTGACTTGACAACCCAATGACTTATTTTTAATGCTGCAGCGCTAAAAAACATGTTCTGGAGGTATTTCAATCAGATTGGAAAAAGAGCTACCACAATTGGTTTGAGTACACGAAAATGTTCTGGATAATACTTTGAAGAATGATGAAACCACATCACAAATATTTTTAATAGCCATCGTATAATTTACCTATATTGACAAACAATTACTGTTTCAAATAAAAAAATTAAATGTTCGTTTATGTTAATAATTTATTTGGTCGAGTCATATGGATAATAAGTGTTTACAACAAAACAGAAGCTGGAGCAGCAGCATAAGTCAAAGGAGCAGAGTAAGCGAATGGAGCGGCATAGGTGGCAGCGTACTTGGCAACAACTGGAGCAGTGTAGGCGCCAGCAACAGGTGTGGTGTAGGCAGCAGCTACTGGAGCAGCGAAGGTCTTGGCAACAATGGGAGCAGCGACAGTTTTGGCAACAACAGGGGTAGCAACGGGGGCAACAACTGGAGCAGTGGCAATACCATTGTAGTTACGGGCAACATATTGGCTACTGGTGGCGGTTACAAATGGAGCTGGGGCAGCAGCAACAACAGCAGCTGGAGTAGTATAAGCCAATGGAGTAACCAAACCAGGCTTGGCAGCAGCACAGGCAAGGACAGCGAAGATGACAACGGCCTAAATGAAATTAATAGGTTTTTAATATCTGTTAATAAATATGTAGTTCTTCAGTTTGACTTACGAATTTGAACATTTTGCTTTGAAAGATTTTTTTTTTTGAAATGTGGTTACTCTGCTAATTGGAGAACTACTGATATTGAATTAAGAAGAAATTCAACTTTATATATCCGGTAGCAGATAGCCACAATTATCGAATTGTTGTGTTTATGTGAGTAAATCATAAACATTGTTTTTAATTAAAATTCGTAGCATATCAAAATAAAATAGTATTGGTGTGTCAAAGGTATTGGTTCTGATGTTTACCTTGTCGATCGTATACGCGAATCGCATTCGGTAGACCAATATAACATATTATGAAGGTATGTCTGCGAAATATCATTTCAGATTTTCATCGATAAATACGAATTGATATATGGAAATATAGATCAGAAGCTTTTGTATAAAGCCCGATAAAACGGCAGTTTAAATTTAACTCAAAAACGCCACTGCATATCAAAGCTATAAAAACAATTGTATTATGATTTCAATTAAATTTAGTCACGTATTTGATGAACGTCACTTACCTACCCCAAACAATTGAAATTTGTTGTTCGGAATGTATGAAAAATTAATTGCTTAAAATATTTTTGAATTACTCATTCACGTTATTCTGGATCGTGAAAAAAGGGAATCGTTGAAAATAGGCGAATACAAGTGGTCGAAAATAGGCGATTTTCCAAAAAATCCTGATTCATACCAAAGCAATATTTGTGCTTATTCTATTTGCTTTAGAATTTTGAGATTACAAAAAAAAAAAACAACAACAAAATTTGTCCATTTAGTATCTTTTTCCTCAAATATATGTACGCAAAGTTACAAGACTTTGACATGATGTATGCTCATTTGCCAGCTGGTTGAAACTTGTCGAAAAATGAAATCGAGAATGGCGGTACCCTTAGAAGATTACTAGAAAGAGTTATAATAGCATTATTATAGCCACATCAGTGGAAATTGCGACCAAGACCTTCAAATACCAAAAAATAGGGGGATTTTTATGTGGAAAGGTATTATATCGAAATAAGTTCATATATCGAAAACGTTCTGCAAAATGTTTTTCATCCTCTAAGAACGCATAATGTCAAACCACTTCTATGAGAATATTCGGTTAAAACCTTAAAATGCAAAAAAAATATATGGGGATTTTTATGTGGGAAGGTATTATATCGAAATAAGCTCATATATCGAAAACGTTCTGCATAATGTTTTTCATCCTCTAAGAACGCATAATGCCAAACCACTTCTATAAGAATATTCGGTTAAAACCTTAAAAATGCCAAATAAGACAGGACCAAGACCTATTCGAAACATTTCTTTAATTATGTTTATTATACTCCAAGATCACGTAATGTCTCCCCACTTCGGTGGCTGTAATGGGGATACTACATCGAAAATTTTTCAAAGATTTTGTTCCTTCTTCAAGAACCTAGAATTTAAACTTACAGCCATTTCGGTGAGTAAATGCGGATAAACCCCAAAAAATAACGAAAATGGGATGTGTTCTTTACTCGTATAAGCGGTTACATACCAAACCGTGAATTGATATTGAAATTCGCTGTTAAAAAGCTGTGTACCGAATGAATTCAAAATATTAAATTAGAATTTTCCAAAATACCGAATATTGTGGGGTACCGTTATATGAGGAATATACCAAAAAGTGGACCGATATATCCAATTTTACAATCCCATACATCATAAGTTCATAGCTCTATCGTGATTAACTTGACATTAAAGTCACTTGGTTTGAAAAATGTATCTACGACTTTAAACTACCAAAATCGATGGACTTAAGGACAATTGTCAAAAATCCTAAGTAAAACCAGTAAGAAAAGTAGTAAAGTCGAACTGGGCCTACTATATGATACCCTTCGCCACTTTGGGTATTTTGTACATCCCTTACAATTGAACGTCAATGTCCCCTCGAAGAAATATACTCATGCCTTTCTGCAACCTACGCTAAATTTAATTTCAATCGGGCATATTTAGAATCGTCTGCGTAACATGGGCAAATTTATGGAAAACGATGTACAGCTAAATTGATACAAGATATTCGGTACGTCGTACTGTTAAAAATTGAATCTGAATCAGACACCCATTCGAAATACATATGGAAGCTATGGCTACATCTGTACCAATTTCAACAAAACGCAATAACGTCAATCAAGTCTCAATTTGATACGTTGTGCAAAATTTCGTGTTAATCGGACACACACTAAGAGTTTGGTTCTAGACTCAACCCAGTACACTAAGCCAAATTTCGTGCAAATCGAAGGATATATAGGGACTTTGGTGCATCATTTACCTAAAATCGGACGAATATATGTATATATATGAGCTATATCTACATCTGAACCGATTTTCCCAATTTCAATTGGGTTCGTCCTTGGGCCAAATAAGTGACCTATGACAAATTTCAAATTCGGATCATAAATGCGACCTGAACTTTGTTTACAATTTAACATGGTCAGACAGACGGACATTCATAAATCGACTCAGAAAGTGATTCTATGCATATTCTCAAAAGGAGCCATGTGTCTATCTCGTTTCCTTTTACCTGTTACATACATATGCACAAAGACATAATACCCTGTACCACAGTGTGGTGAAGGGTATAACAAAAATATTTTAAATAAATTTGTTACCCCCTAAGAACGCATAATGATAAATCAGACCTCCTTCCTTTGAGAAAAGTGAGGCATGAGCATTGTATGGACATTTTTCAAATAGTGAAAATAAACATTTTGTTTTCGCCAATAAATTTCCTTGATGTAATAAAAATATGTCTGTAAAATCGTTGTCTTAAATATCGTGACGTTTTTTGGGAATCAACATAACCTTACGTGTACTCAAACGAATATTTTGAGTTGTTAAAACCAAATTATCATTATAATCGGGTGGGTAAACGTAGACCATATAAATTTTCCTTGACAAAACGAAGGACATTGTAACATAATTCAAAAATACCACCTATTGTATTTCCACTTCACGTTTTGTACTTCTTTATAGGTTTGTTTATTACTGTTGTTTTCGTAGTAGTTCTTTACTACAAAAATTGTCGGTCATACTACCTACCCTTCATAAAATGAATACTAAGTCCCATGTCCTTGACTTTCAATGTTCTTGAATTTCGTAACTTGACGAAATTTTAATTTTTTCGATTTTGTTTGTCGTCATCAAAACCATTGAAATGGTTGTAAACAAAACAACTAAAATGACATACCAAAGCATAACTATGAATAATACTCTAAATAGCGGATTAACTTGACAATTAACATACCGAAATAAGTCGGGTAATTGCTACGTGTTCGGCATTTTATTGACTACAGCGATGATATGTTGTACAATGTGTATTTTATGATTCCGGTAGTTTTTTTATGATGTGATTTATTTATTTCACCACAATTTGATTGTAATGAATGACTAAAATTTATTTATTAATGGATTATAGTTTATTATGGATTATAGTTAAAGAATAATTTTATAGGATTATTATATTTATTTGCATCGATTTTTAAAGGGCAATTATAAAAATAAACGTGAATTTGTTAAAGAATATGTTTAAAGGAATAATACAACTATATACAGTTATTTCCAAAACTAAAGCAGCTAAAATTTGCAAGGAAATGACACAAAAATAAAGATATCGTGTTTGGGTTTTTTGCGTTTTACATCTTTATTCAATTTAAAAAAAGCATTAATGTAAAATTTATTATGAAATAAATAAATTATGAGTTTTGTTTTTATGCCTTTTTAGGGCGAAGGATCATTCATGTAAATGTGTTGTTATTAATTTCTCCTTCGAGATGAGCTCCATGATCGGAGTTGCAATGAAAAGGAAAGCCAGAGAGATACTACATTCCCACCACTATGCGACGAGTTTCGCCGCTGGTTAAGCGGCTCATCAGGCATATTGGGCAATGTGGCTTACAAATGTCTTTACTTGATAAGTTGTATTTATGTCGACTATTGTTGCGAAATTGCATCTACGAAATAAATTCAACCGTTCGGACATTTGAGAAGCCCTTTAGCCGTCACTTGATGCTGACACAATAAATCGGCTATATCTTCAAGGGTTCTTGAGATTTTCACTTGAAATTTTGTAGGAACATTCTTGAATTAGTGTAGATTCGAATTAAATCAAAAAAATTTTTGACCCTGAGAATGGGGGGGGTCCCTTAAGAGTTCAACGAAATTTGTGAGTCGGTTATCGTTTCATATAACCTCAAGAACAGAGCGTGAGCGAGCTATGGTAGCAGGCCTACATGCCCGGAAACTATAAGGAATCTTCTTTTTTTCCGAAAAGAATCGGAAAGCCAGATTGCCGAAAAAATTATGCTCTCGAATGAATTAAAGTTAAATATTAAAGAATTATACATGATAACGATGAGAAAATCCAAAAATGAAAGGCTTATGCCACAGTACTGCAAGGGCAATGTGAAGCATGGAGGAGGATCAATAACAATATTGGACTGTGTTTCTTTGTATGGAGTACAATATATTTACAAGATTAATAAAGTAATGATACCATTACATAAAAAAACCCTATGGTTCCCTTCGCTGAAGAATACATACCGCATGTTTGGGTGTTTCAGCTTGACAATAACCTCCAAACGTACACCAACATATGTCAAAGATGGTTTATGGGAGTCAAAAATCAATTTTTTATAATGGCCAGATCTTCACCCTCAAAAAATCAATAAAAACCAGTAAGGAAAGTAGTAAAGTCGGACTGGGCCGACTATATGATACCCTTCACCACTTTGGGTATATGTTACATATGTATCCTAACAGGCGTTTTGTTATAAATCTATATCTGAACCGATTTCAGGGAAACTTGCCAGAGATTAATTTATATAACATCAGTACGTTGTGTCAATCGACTTGCTATGGATCTTTTCACGAAGTTTATCAACATCATTCTAGACTTAATTCAATACACTATACCAAAATACGTGCAAATCGAATATATATAGGGTTTTTGGTGCACCAATTACCTTAAATCGGTTGAAAATACATATGGGAGCTATATCTAAATCTGAACCGATTTTCACGAAACTTGGCAGACATCATTCTCGATTTTATTCATAACTCTGTGCCAAATTTCGTGCACATCTAAAGATTTCCAGGGACTTTAGTGGACTATTTACCTAAAATCGGGCGAAGCTAATATGGGAGCTTTATCTAAATCTGAACCGATTTTCACGAAACTTTGCACATATCATTCGTGACCTTATTCATTACGCTGTGCCAAATTAAATATCTAAATCTGAACTGATTTTCGCGAAACTTTGCACACATCATTCGTGACCTTATTCACCATGGTGCACCATTTACCTTAAATCGAAAATATATATGGGAGATATCTCTAAATCTGAACCGATTTTTCCCAATTTCAATAGGGTCAAACAAATGAGCTGTGCCAAATTTCATCCAATTCGGATCATAAATGCGACCTGTACTTTGTTTACAATTTAACATGGACAGACGGACGGACGGACATGCATAAATCGACTTAGAAAGTGATTCTATGCATATTCTCAAAAGGAACCATGGGTCTATCTCGATTATTTTTGCCTGTTACAAATATATGCACAAAGTGTGGTGAAGGGTGAAGGGTACCACAGTGTGGTGAAGGGTATAAAAATCTCAAACGAACAGACATAACCTCTTCCCAAAGGTTCAGGATGTAAGGAATAGTATATGCAAGGATCAAATAGCTTCTGTATAACCTTGGATTTTTAAATAACTATTCTAATTACTTTAATAATATTTTTAAAGGACTTTTATAATAAGCCTCAATTTTTAAAGAATATTTTAAAGGACTATTATAATTAAATACGTTGTTTCTTGTTAAATCTTGTCATACATCTAATAGCGTATATGTTTAAACTCTACTTTCCAACAAGTGTCACACCTGAGAAAGTGTTATTTCAATTTTCAATTTTCCATACAATACAGCTACGAAGTATTCTAACAGACATTTTCTACAACTTAACAAACATAATCTAACAAACATAACAACTGTGATAGTCCTATCTCAGTTATTACTTATTAAAAACGATTTTATATTATATATAGTTATTATTATTAAAACAATTCTTCAGGCGTGTTATGCGTCAAAACAAATGCCCAAAATTAAACTCATTAGCAATTCCCTACGCACACTCCATTATGTTTGGGCAGCATTTCAATAATTAATTAACAAATAAGTAAGACTATGGGATTTTAGTTTAGTTTGTATTCTCGGCCGGAATATAAATTTGAGCTTCCACAGCGACACAATTATCAGTTATCACTTTGTTGAGCTAGCAACTAAAACAAATTCCCTAACTTTTCAAACATGTTCAAATTCGTAAGTTCTGTCTTAACGTTGAATTGGAAAAGGATTATGTTTTTATGTAATGATAATTTATTTACAGGCTGTTGTTATCTTTGCCGTTATTGCCTGTGCTGCTGCCAAGCCTGGTTTGGTTACACCATTGGCCTACACCGCCCCAGCTGCTGTTGTTGCTGCCGCTCCAGCTCCTGTCGTCACTGCCACCAGTAGCCAATTTGTTGCCCGTAACCATAATGGTATTGTGTCCGCACCAATTGTTGCCCCCGTAGCTGCACCTGTAGTAGCCAAAACTGTTGCTGCCCCTATCGTTGCCAAGACTTTTGCTGCTCCCGTTGCTGCTGCCTACACCGCTCCTTTAGCTGTTCCAGTTGTTGCTAAAACGATTGCTGCCCCTGTAGCTGCCGCCTATGCTGCTCCGTTGACATATACTGCGCCCTTGACTTATGCCGCAGCCCCTGCTCCAGTTTTGTTGTAAACATGGCCATATATCGAGACTGACAATGACAAATTTGAATAATAACATTTAAATAAAAACATAATTTATTAAAAAAAATAGATTTTTATATTATGTGAATGACTACCACTTGCCTTCCCAATACAACTTGCATTAAACAAATTTACTGACACTCCGATTTTGTCTTGGATGATCAATACTTCCCTTTAAGAAGCCCAATTTTCTTATTATTTTACGAATACTTTGTAAGGACTGTCACAATGTCCTGCTATATTTTTTCAAAATATCCCTAGGACTATAATTTTAATTAATTTTTAAAATATTTATAATACAGCAAACATTAATTGTTGATATTTGGTCTGTTTCCCTACTAGAAGAATCTATAAATTTTTACTATTTCCTTCGATTTCATTAAGGAAAAATTGTTATCGTAGTAAATAGTTTTACATTCGTGCAGGTTCGGGAACAGACCAATTGTTTATGAAATATTTCCCAGAAAATGTTTCTAGAAGAACCTTTAACATCAAACAAGGATTTTCTTAAGGATATTTTAATAAGTTTAACTCCAATAACAGTCCTAGTTAGAAACTAGAATTTATGGCCGACTTTTAAAGAATATTTCAAATAAATTGAATATGTGTGAACAGGAAAAAACATCTATATGCGTCAATTTTTAAAATAATATTTCTAAATAATTTTTATAGCTAAAACCCGAAATTGTTTATATTATTTTTATAAGGATAGTTTATAACAAGTTTAAATTTGAGACACTTGTTATGTTTTTAAAAATAATTTGCATATACTATCACAGCTATAAACGTGAATTTTTAAGGAATATTTTACAAGGACCATCAAAGCTATAAGCTCGGATCCGCTAAATATTGATCGATCTTCATCAAAACAGTCATGTTTATTCTATGGTCAGATCCCTTTTACTGTGTAAAATGTCATTATGTTCAGGTCATGGGTGTGTCCTCTAGAGCGACCAGAAAAACAAAAAAAAAAATAATGACTTTAATACCAGATGTGTATATTTCGGAATTCTTTACAGTCTTCATGGAAGTTAAGTGTGTGTATTTTACGGAATTTATGTCAAGGATGCATTCATAAAAGTTTATTTAACGGGGTCAAAAAATTTTTTGATTTAATTCTAATCTACACTAATTAAAGAATGTCTCTACAAAATTTCAAGTGAAAATCTCAAGAAATCTTGAAAATATAGCCGATTTATTGTGTCAGCATCAAGTGACGGCTAAAGGGCTTCTCAAACTTTAAACACGTTTTTCTCTTTTGCGAATGGCGGGCACGATAACTCAAAAACTAATAACCCAATCGATTCCAAATTTTTACACGTTTCTCTGTGAGTGTATAGCTATTGTATGAACTAGGATAAAGCCAATCGGTGAAGATCTTCCTTATTTTTTAACTTAGTTTTTGGTAAAAAATCGACGATTTTCCAAAAATATTTTTTTCAAACATGGTATTCTAATCATAATCAATCCTACGATCTGAATTTGTACCAAATTTGCAAAAACAAAAAGAAAATAATTTAAAAGACAGAATATAGTTTTGTTTAATAAATTAATTTTTTCTAGTTTATTGATCAAATTCACAATGGCCAGTCAGGGTTGAGATATTGTCAAATTGTTTACAACAAAACTGGGGCAGCAGCATAAATCAATGGAGCAGTGTATGACAATGGAGTGGCATAAGCAGCAGCTACTGGAGCAGCAAAGGTTTTAGCCACCAAGGGAGCAGCAACAGTTTTGGCAACGACAGGGGTAGCAACGGGAGCAACAATTGGTGCGGAGACAATACCATTGTGGTTACGGGCAACAAATTGGCTACTGGTAGCAGTGACGACAGAAGCTGGAGCGGCAGCAACAACAGCAGCTGGAGCGGTGTAGGCCAATGGTGTAACCAAACCGGGCTTGGCAGCGGTACAAGCAATAACGGCAAAGATTACAACAGCCTGTAGAGTACATATTATAAAATTTAACAAAAATCCTTTTTTTTAATTCAATATTTCGATCGAACTTACGAATTTGAACATGTTTGAAAAATTAGGGGATTTGTTTATGTTGCTAGCTCAACAAAGTGTTAACTGATAATTATGTCGCTGTGGAAGCTCACATTTATATCCCTGCACAAAAACAATGATAGATTGAACATCACATTCAATGACTTTCATATGTTTTGTTATATTTGTTGTTGTTGATATTAACATAACGATAAACCAAAATTTCGTGGACTTCTTCATTAATTACTAAAATGCTACACAAACAATATAAAGTGTGCGCAGAGAATTTATAATTATTTTTATTTAGAGTATTTGTTACGGTGTATAGCCATTTTACACATTGATTTTAATAGTGCTTGCTATTATTTGAAAAAATGCAATAATGTTGACACTGTGTTAATTGTTTTTAAATTGAGAAAAACCTGGAAAACTTATTTTTCAATAATAAACACTTTTCATATTTTTTATCAACAAATAACGGTCATAAGGCTTTGTTGATTGTTAAAAATATATTTTTTATTCATTGCAAGGGTTAAAAATAGTTGAAAACTATTTTGAACTGTACGTGTTTATAACAGTGTCACATTTTTTTATAACGTTGGACTTAAAAAACTGTTCTTTAAATATAACATAGTTACAGGCACATAAGTAGACATAGGGGTAAATTTTTTTTCCTAGTAAATTTATGTTTGCAACAGAGATTTTTGCCATTTTGTACTAACTAGGCTTACAACCAGGGACGTACGGAGGGGGCGGCCCGGGGGGCCCGCCCCCCCCCCCCCCCCCCGAAATGAATTTTTTTCACAGTAAATTTATGTTTGCAACAGCGAATTTTTCCATTTTGTACTACCGGGCATTTAACAAGGACTACCACAGCTATAAGTGTGGATTTTTCAAATATTATTTTGCAGAGACTATCACAGATATAAACGTTGATTTTTACAGGATTTAACAAGTACCATAACAGCTACAAACGTGGATTTGTTAGGGATATTTTACAAGGACTATCACAGCTTTAAGTGTGGAATATTTAAGGACATTTTATACGGACTATCACAACTATAAAGGTGGATTTTTTAAATATTATTTTACAGGATATTTTACAAGGACTACCACAGCTATAAATGTGATTTTTTTAAGCATTTTTGGACGGTCTATCACAGCTATAAGTGTGGAATCTTTTAAAGATTTTTTGGACGGTCTATCGCAGCTATAAGTATGATTTTTTTATTTTTAAAGGGTATATAACAACAACTATCACAGACATAAACGTTGATGTTTTACAGGATATTTAACAAGGACTATTACAGTTATAAACATAAATTTTTTTGAAGATATTTTACACCGACTATCACAACTATAAGCGAGGTCTTTTTTATCTTTGTAAAGGGTATTTAACAATGACTATCACAGTTATAAGCGTGGATTTTTCAGAATAGTTTACACGGGCTTTCACAGCTATAAGCATGGATTTTGTAAATATTATTTTATATGAACTAGCACATGATATTTAGCAAAGACTATCACAGCTGTAGGCGAGGATTTTGTAAATAATATTTACAAGGACTGTCACAGCTATAAACGTGGACATTTCAAAGAAAGTTAAAACAAGGACTATCACAGCCACAAACGTGGGTGTCTTAAAAGATATTTAAAAAGGACTATTAAAGCTATAAGCAGGATTTTTGTAGTATAAGAGGGGATTTTTTAAGAACAACTTCTTAGCATGTTTATTTTAATAATGTTTACTATAACAGCAATAAACGCGAATTTAAAAAAATAAACAGGGACTATCACAGCTATAAGCGTGGATATTTTAAATGATATTTAACAAGGTCTATCACACCTATAAGCATCGATTTCATTAAAGACTACAATAGTGTATTTATTAAAGATATACATTTGTATTTTTTAAAGAATTGTTTAAAATGATATTGTAGAATTAAGCGTGGAATATTTAAAGAAAATTGTTTATGAAAATCTGTTGTTGTTTATTAATGATGATTTTGTTTTATAAAAACAACAAATTGGGACTCAGTCTGCCTATATTGCTAAAACAAAATGATATTAAATCTATAAGTGCTTATTTCTTAATAATATTTCTTCTAAACTCCAAACACAAAGTGTTCACATTATTTTTATTGTTGTTTAATAAATGTCGAACACCAATAAAAACGTAAAATAAAATGGTTATGCGTCGAAACAAATACCCAAAATTATACTAATTACACTGTGCAGCACTAAAATCTTGAACCAATCGAGACCCCCAAAATCTTGAAGCTTGTGATGGTGGAAGAAAATCCCTAGCTGGGTTTTGCATTATTAGCTAAGGTTTTCTTTTAAATTAATTTTTAAAATATTCGACTGGAGGTGGATTTTAACAATTTTCGAATAATACGTACTTATTATTGAGTCTATATTTCGTGAACTATTCGAAATATTGCTTTTCTCTCTAAAGCAATATTCTTCCTCTTAATTAGAACTAAAAATTTGTTCTTGAGATAAAATCAATAAAACATCACCATCATACTGAAAATAGCACAACTGCAAAAAAAATTAAAATTTCGACATACTTTTTCCATGTTTTTTCACACTTATTTCAGAAACTGCTACTGACTCGACCAAACAATATATGACAAGAAGATAGCCAATAGCAAATCAAACAACTCTTCTTAAAACCCCGATTTCATTGGTTGACTCCTTCACATAGTTATAGCCTCACAAATTCATCAAAATGAACCAAAAAAAAATCACTCCCAATTGTATGTTTATAGAAATAAAAATTGCTATGCTTTTTCAATAAATAGATACAAAATTAAAGTAAAAATTAAAATGTTTGGGCCCTTGGGTTTTTTTTTCGAAGACATGTCGCTGTCATATATGCACAGGGTAATATGCAGCGGTGGCAACAATATGTCACTTATATTTATACCCTTCACCACACTGTGGTACAGGGTATTATGTCTTTGTGCATATGTGTGTAACAGGCAAAAGGAAACGA